ATCTTGATCAATTAAATCGAACTCCTCCTTAAAATTGCACAATTAAGCTCCAAATCATCTTGCAAGACAATTTCATCATAATTAGTGCAATACCATGCTAATTCCAAAAATAGTATTACCAAAATCATCAAGTTAGAGGTATGAAAATATGTACAAATATAGGCTTATCAGGCATAAGAGGTTGCTCCCGTGTTGCAAGCAGAACTGAGCTGGGTCGACTCACTTGTTGATTACCTGCTCCATGGGACCCTACCAGTAGACCACAATGCAGCTCGAAGGGCAGAGTGTTAGTTAGCCCAGTACGTCGTTATCGACGGGTTGCTGCTGTATAGGAGGTCCTTTACGCTCTCCTACTTGCGCTACTTGTGGCCTTTAGAAGCAGGTCAGGTGCTACACAAGATTCATGATGATCTTTGTGGAGAATACCTGGGGGGCAGGGTGCTCGCCCAAAAAGCACTAAGGAAAGGATACTACTGGCCCACGATGAAAGAGGATGCACTCAAGCTCGTGAAGAAGTGCGACAACTACCAGAGGCATGCCAACATTCTTCATCAGCTTGTCGTCGATCTAAAGTATCTCACCAACCTATGGCCTTTTGCTCAATGGGGAATAGATATCCTTAGTCCATTCCCACTGGCAACCAGGCAGAGGATTTTTTGTCGTGGTTGTCAACTACTTTACGAAGTGGGTGGAAGCTGAGCCATTGGTGACGATCACAGCCCAGAACGTGAAGAACTTCTTTTGGAAGAACATAGTATGTCGCTTCGAACTACCCAAGGTGCTGATTTCAGACAATGGGAAGCAGTTTGAAGACATCAAGTTCCAGAATTAGTGTGCCAAGATGGGGATCCAACAGAACTTCACGTCGGTAGCACACCCCTAAGCAAACAAATAGGCCGAGGTGACGAATAGGGCCATCCTCTGTAGACTGAAAGCTCGCTTAGCACGAGCTAAGGGTTTGTGGGTCGACGAGCTGCCTAGCGTCCTATGGGCCTATAGGACTACCCTTAAAATTGCAACAGGCAAGACGTCGTTCAACCTGATGTACGGTATGGAGGTCGTCATCCCCGCCGAGATCAAAGTACTGACCTTGTAATTAGAGGCGTATGATGAGGAGGCCAACAACGACGAGCTGCGAACGAACCTCGACTTAGTTGAAGAGGTAAGCAACCTGGCCTACATCCAGACTGCGGCCTACCAATAATGGGTAGCTCGGTATTATAACGCCCGAGTCAAGAGACATTAGTTCCAAGTTGGCAACCTTGTGCTCCAAAAGGTGATGGTACATGAGCCCAACATGGGTAAGCTCGGACCAAAATGGGAGGGTCGTACAAAGTGAGACGGGTATCCGGTGAAGGCACGTACGAGCTTGAGACATTAGAAGGGAAGCAGGTGCCCCATGCCTGGAACATCGAAAACCTTAGAAGGTACTATCTATGAGCTTGGGAACCAAGCATCTGCAAAAAATATTCTAAGTCAGATGGCCACCCGCTCAAGTGACCTAGTCAGGCCATACATCGGCTAAATGACACGATAGAGAGTGGACTACAAGTCGCTCCTAAAGCCTAAGGGCCGCGGCGCCGAGACAACAAGGACCTCGGCACTAAGCGCGAATAAGACCAAGTCGCTTTCTAAGCATGGGCAACACAGGCAGGAGGTTCAACTAAAGCCTCGTTGGTGCACATACAGGTCGGGCACATACCCAGCTATGTTTGCCCACCTCGGGTCACTTCCTACTATGCCTAGTTCATCAGCTCGGCACCAAGGGGTAACCCATACTTAGATAAATTTTACAATATCATTGTATGCGGAGTGGCAGAAAAGAGAGTATTTCATTACCTTGTAACAAAAAGAAGTGTTCTTACATTTAGCAAAAAAAAAAAAAAGAGAAGCTAGAATTTATTGAACCAAGCTCGGAGGCCCGGTCTACACTAAGTCTACAAGGAGGTGCAAGAAAAGAGGTAGAAAATCTTCACAGGGGCTCCTCATCCCCACCTTTAATGTTCTCGGGGTTCCCAACGGGCTCAACCATCACAACTTCATCAGTTGCAGCAACCTCATCGGCCTCCACCGCACTGTCTTTCTCTTCTTCCTCTTCCTCATGCCGGCGAAGAGCTTAGCCATCGGAGTGCTCGACATAATACCTATAACAAGAAAGTACTAGATTAGTCGAAGTGATGTAAAAAAGGAAAAGTGTGTGTGTGTACCGAGGTGGCGACATACCCGGAGGACTCAGCCCGACATTGACAAGCTTGTCCTCGGCTAAGTAATCTCCCAATTTCAAGTCAAGCTTGACCAACCTCTGCATCTTCTTCCTCATCTTCCTACTTAGCCAGTCCCCAGGGTCACTGATGCCAGTTCTCCACCGAGTTGAGAAGGGTCACCCCCCTTCAGCGATCGCAGTGAAGTACCTATTTTTCTAGGCCTATACTTTGGAAGGATATTCGTGAAGCAACTTGTACCCAGGTCGATAAGCTATGTAATAGCTAAACTTATCAACCCATAGAAGGCTGACAGGGTTTTTCTTGATTGAGCAGAGCAAGGTGAAGATGTCTATATCTAAGGAGAGGTCACGGTCATGGAACAAGGAAATGATGCCAACCACAATGTGAATTGAGTTCGGGTGAAGTTGGTCTATGGTGACACTGAAAAAATTTAGAACCTCGACTACAAAAGGGTGGAGAGGAAACCGGAGCCCGGTGATCAACTGTTTCACGAAGACAGTGATCTCATCGTCATCATGCTCCCAAGGAAAGTTTTCTAGCAGAAGGTAGCTAAGTTGATCGGGGAGCTTAAAGTGGGCAACCAGTACCTCAATCCTCTCCGACATCATAATAGTGGAACCGAAGCAATTTGGACCCCGAGCATGGTGAGAGGACGAAGCCTTTTTACTAGAAGCTTTTCTCTCTTGAATCGAGGCACCCTCCTCGGCTAGGCCAGATTCCAAGTTGCGGGCTGATGCGGCCATCTCAGCCAAACCAGACTTTATGTCTTGGACCGAGGTACCCACCTTGGCCCCACCAGACTCACTACTCATGTCGAACAGGCTACACGTACTGTTACTACTAGACATACTGTAATAATGGTAAAAAAGAAAATAGGCACAAAACAAAGGAAGGCGGCTTACCTAAAGATGAAGAGCGACCACGGGAACGAGACAAGGGATCACTGACCTAGAAGCAAGTGCGCGACCTCAAAAATGTGAACACACGAGATATGACGAAGCGAATGGGACCCAAGGCCCCTATTTATAGCCACTATAGTCGATCTTGGACGATCAAGATTGAAGTGATCCAACGGCTCTCGTAAAAATCGGTCGCGTGCCTCTCGAGGCCGAATTCGGTTGAGCACTTGTTTTGACGTCCACGGAGTTTGTAATCTAGGTATCATCTGCACGTCCCTGATACGCGATCTGGTCCCACGATTGAGCCAGGCAGGTCATTGTGGTCTGACCGCCGGACCAGACCTCAACTCGGAAGAGGACCGGGCCAAACCCACCTAAACTCGTCATGAACTCCTTGCACTGGGTCAGGACCCCTGGCACGGGGAGTGGGGGGCAATTGATGAGGGGTGATTTGGCCCAACCTAGTAAACAATGGACACGTGGACTTGACTTGATGACTGGACATCGACTCAACACCTACTGCCACCTCAGCAGGACAAGTCACCTCGGGTACCTCAGTCACCTCGACTAGGACCGAGGTCTGAGTAGCTCATGGTGCCCCAAATTATCGAGGTGACACGTAGAGGACTTGAAGCTTGTCAGTTGTCTCTGAGCTCTTCGGGATCACGCCGCATGACTATGGGTCTTATCCTCATCCCGCCCAGATCAGACGGACACAATAAGCCTTATCGGCTAGCACGATATCCACCTCCTGGTGCAGAATAGACTCCTAACAGTGTGGACCAAGGATCTCGAAGGTTTCGTGAGACCCACAACAACTCATCTATATAAGGGCATCAATCATAGTGGTACAAGGTACGCACGATTACTGCTTACTAGCTCTCATACTCTCAAGATTTTAGCTTCACACAATTAGCTACTAACTTAAGCATCGGAGCGACCACGTCGAATTAGCCACCCCAGGTTCTCTGAGCTTCTCTTCCTTGCAGTTCGACCGGCTAGCTAAGCAAGTGACGTCTGAACTGCCATCTAGCTGGGAGCAACCAGATCGCACACCATCAGTTCCAGTCTAGCCCAGGCTTAAATAGAATAGAATGACTCAATGACCAAATTTGGATTCTTCCATATCCATTGGGATAAGGATTTGTTGTAATACTTGAGATTTGAATTCATATAAATTAGTAAGCCACCCCCTCGGCATTATTAATATTAAGGTAGAGCATATGTGAGTCGGCATCCAAAGCAAGTAGTGTTTGATTTTGTTTATGTTTTTTCATTTAATGTTTATATTTTTTTTGTTTGCAAAATTGAGAAAAGTAATAGTTACAATGTTTATAACAATTAAGCACTACTAATTGCCAATAGGCACCACATCAACATAATAGTAAAAAATGCCTGATGAATCTTTAAAAAATAATTTTTCCAAACGATAGACGTATACAGAAATCGAATTCATCTTTTGCTATTCTCGATATACACAGAAGAGCATGAGAAAAGAATTTCTAAAATAGTGTTAGAATAAACGCCCACGCTTCCAAAACACCTTCCAAATCACAGCGAAGTAATAAGTACGCTTCCTTTGACCCATTGAAAAAAACAGAAAACGAAATCAGCACCCGCCTTGGCCTCTGCTTGGATAAGAGTCGGTAGTCGGTCGTATTGTGGTAAGTGGTAAGTGGTAGGACACATGAACAAATTCGGACGTTACAATCTTTTGCTTCACTAGGTAAAGCCCCCAGCCTGTTTCATTTAAAGAAAGAAATGTGCACTTCACTGATACACTGCTACTCACGGAGCGGGTCCCACCTAATGGTGTGGCTCGTTGGGTCAATTTTAACAATCAATCTCTAAATTTTCAAATATAAGCTATGGCAATTCCTGTATTTTCTAACAAAACCAAGGGCACGATATGACGATACCAAGAACGGCCGGCTCTCTACCCGGCTTGTTGACCGAAAGTATCGAATGGTAGAAAAAAGACAGAGGCGGAGAGGCCAGTCCATTCTATTTTTCTCGACTCCTCTGGCTCTGTGACAATCCCAAAGCTAGTTGAAGGCTGAATCAGTGATGCACAGCCAACCAAGCTTGCCTTCTTTGTTTAGAGTTTAGATTTTGAATTTTTTGTTTCTTTTCTTTTGATTGCAGAGCTTCTTACACTGAAGAAGCTACCAATAAATAAAAATGACAAGCGTGCACTTAAACGTGTCGTCGATGGAACTCGACATCGTGTCTTCCGATTGGTGGAACGAGATCAACGAGTCCGCTCGTTGGCAAGATGGGATCTTCTTCACTCTCTGTGCTGCTTACGCCCTTGTCTCCTCCGTTGCTCTGGTTACTCCCTCTCTTCCCTTGATTTTGTTGCTTTATTAATTGAATTCTTGGCGTGTTGCCCAAGATGTGATTTTTGTTTTGTTGAGCTTCATTTGAGATTATTTTAGGTAGTTTTGATTTGAGCGTATTGTTTTAGGTATCTTTTGAGATCGGCATTGTTGGTAAAGATGAATTTCTGGTTTTTATTAGAAACTCTTGTAACTGGTTTATTCCCCTCTTTACTCATTTCAATTTGAGAGATTTTGTTCTTGGTTCTGTTCATTTTGACAGAGCTTTAATGAGGAACAATATGGTGCATTTGATTTTGACTTTCCCCTTCTTTACTCATTTCAAATTGTGAGATTCTTTTCTTGGTTCTGTTCATTTTTACAGAGCTTTAATGAGGAATAAGATGGTGCATTAGATTTTGACTTTCCCCTTCTTTACTCATTTCAAATTGTTAGATTTTTTTTTCTTGGTTCTGTTCATTTTGACAGAGCTTTAATGAGGAATAAGATGGTGCATTAGATTTTGACTTTCCCCCTCTTTCTTTTTTTTCTTGGCTGCTACATGGTGTAGAAGAGACGGACTTTAAAAGATCCGGTACTTGGGGTTTGAAGATGATAGCACTATGCGATGAATCCTAGGGAATGTTGAATGTAGTTGTTCCGGGAGATTGTTTTTTGGGTGACTATTGAGGAATCATGTTTGTTTCTTTTTATTATTTATTATTGTTAGTGCTTGCAGATTCAATTAATCCGGATTGAACTCAGAGTACCCGAGTATGGTTGGACGACGCAGAAGGTTTTCCATCTCATGAACTTCATTGTAAACGGAGGTGAATTTGGATGCTTTGGTTATTAGTTTACTATCTTATTAGTTGGATTGGTATTCTTTTTTCTTTCTTTCTTTCTTTCTTGCTTTTTAACAATGGAATATTTCGCTGCAGTGCGTGCAGTTGTGTTTGGATTTCACAAGCAAGTATTTCTTTTTAAGTTGAAGGTAAGGTTGGTACTGTTTGACTCCATTATTTTTTATTTTTATGGTTTAGACTCTGGTTTCTTTTTATAATCTTGTTTGATGCAACACAGTTTGAAGTTTTTCTGTAACTCATCAGTCGTTAAGGATGTCAACAGATAGGGGGCTGCTTAACAATGAAATTTTCTCATCTAATTGGTTTTCCTTTGCTTTTGTTTCTTTTGCACGATTTGTCAGATGACTTTTCACCAATTACTTGGCAAGACCAACAAGATACATTTCACTCAAATGGGCACAACCTGAGAATCAATTGATAAAAAATTGGAGACTAATAAAAAAATGCATCATTGGCCACGCTTCACTTTTTCCTATGGGGAGGAGGGAAAAATGGACACAGAAATCCATCTCACATGTGCCCAGTAAACTAAAGGATATTGGGTTCCTTGTGTTTAGATCATGTTAACATATTGGTTCAAGTGTGCTTATATTTCGCACTCAGTTTATAAATGCATAATTTTGTTTCAAGCTATGAAGTAGAAATAATAGGGGGATAAAGAATGAAAAAAGGAGGTTTATGTGAGATGCCTTTGCTTGTTTTCCAAAAAAAAAAAGCAAAAAGAAAAAGTTTGAGCTACATGGAAATATATGGAAATTTCCACTAGCATTTTGTTTCCTCTTAGTGATTTCAAAATACAACTCTTCTGTAATATTTGGATATGTGTTAAGTCATCGGCTAACGAAACAAAAGCCTACTTTTTATCTATAGGCTTACTGCGATTCACAAAACTCTGGTGTTTTAAAGAGATCAATATATCAATTGCTTTACATAAGATGACATCTGATAAGAGATATGTTTCTTGAATCAGGTGTTTACTTTTGTGTTGTTGGATCTTCCTGGACTTTTGTTCTTCTCTACTTACACCCTCCTTGTCCTATTTTGGGCAGAGATATATCATCAGGCAAGTGAAATATGCAACTGGATTTCTCTTTCTGTGAAAGGCAAACAATTGTTAATAATTATTTAGTTCATCCATGTGAATAAAATAATAGTAATTACTGCAACTTGCTTTAGTTAAATGTCCTGATTGAGGGGACACACAACAAAAACATGTGTACTATTCTATTGTCTTTGACCTAGCGAGGTATGCTTTCACAAATTGTATTAAACCATGTGTTGAACTGTCGATATACCATCTTGGGCTGGCAAGCATTGGTTTGAGCCTGAGAGTGACCACTTTGTGCAAGAAATGCCAAAGGTTAGGACCGTATCCAGTCTACCCCTCCCAAGATCCCAGACAGATGGGACCAACAATGCATAATGGCCTTTTTTATTCATATTTCTAGGTAGTTCTGATTCCAATTCCTAATCATTGACAGGCAAGAAGTCTTCCAACAGATAAGCTCAGGATTATATACATTTTCATTAATGGTGCTATATATTTAATACAGGTATGCATCTGTCTCCTTTTATCTCCTCTTCCTGCAATTTCAAGCATTGTCTTTCCATCAAAAATTGATTTTTTTGCCCTGTTTATCACATAGGCACCAGAAAGAATTTAATATTATTCTTGTTTCACATTTCTGTATGCTTTATTGCACTTTTTTTTTTGAAAGGTAAAATAAGATTTTATTAAATCAGAAAGAACTCATTACAACAGGAGAGCTAGCCATTAAATGGTTACCCAGACCACAGAACAGGTTACAGAATCCAAATGGATTTAGATCTAAACAACTCAGGTACATTCAAGTTTTTAAAATCAGGAGCTACAGACACCCAAGAAATCAGCTTGCTAACCGCCTGCTGCACAACCTCATCAGTGCTCTTTATCTTGTTGCTAAAGACTCTTCTGTTCCTTTCTGACCAGGTTACCCCAAAGCACAGCTGCAGGAATTGTCCTCCATACTAATTTTCCTTTTTTTCTTCAGGCCTTGAATCTCCCAGCATAGCAGCAGGTCTTTAACTGAGTTTGGCATGACCCAGCAAAGTCCAATAGCCCTAGAAAATGATTCCAAACTCTGGAAGAGATAAGGCAGTGGATACACAGATGATCTGTGGATTCAGGCATTAGACCACACAAACCACACAGCAGGGAAGGGAGATGAAGACCCCTCCTATCCAGGTTGATTCTTGAGAGGCATTTGTTCAGCACCATTGTCCACACAAGGAAGTTAACTTAGAGGGAGAACTAGGATTCCACACTTGATGGCAGGGGAAGTCAGTACGCTTTATTGCACTTGGTTTACAATCACTATGTATGGTGCTATTTTATTGTTTATCATACAGTTTATGCTTATTTCTTTGTGTTTCCTTATGGGGCATTGAATTCCCTTGAAGTAAGGAGTACTGTGGCAGGAACAGTTTTATAAGGGTAAATTACTTAGACCTCCCACTTTTGGTCAAACACTATGACCTCTCAGGTTTACATATAAACCTACTCAACCCTTGTAGTTTGGGTTAAGTTACTTATTCCACTCCTCCACTACTTTTAAATTTAAAACATTTCAAAAGTCCATTTTGAAATGGATTTTTTTGGTAAAATATCTTGGTGGCAGAACTCATATTGTATTATTAAAGGTTTTTTGGTAAAATATCTATTTCTTCTCATTTATCAAAAAAAAAAATCTATTTCTTCCCTCTTTTGCATTCACAAATCCCCTGTAGCTTTTTTTTTTTTGGTGAAAGAGGGCATAAGTTAATAGGTAGTTCCAAGGGGAGGTCTTAGTATTTGACCGAAACCCAAAGGAAGATGTAAGTAATTTTCCGTTGTTCTTTCTCACTCTCTCTCTGAATCATTAAAGTTTCAGTATCCAAGTAAGTCAACTGTTTGTCCAGAAGATCCATGTAGGCTTTTTTAACAATGATAAAAGCAGTACCCAATTGTCGCTCCCAATTAATAACAGAATTGCATCCCAGAGAATGGCAGATTACTTGAATCTTGACCAATTCAAGCACTACTTACATCTATTTTTAGATTCTTAATCTTACTGAATGGACTTGCCTGTTCAGGTTTGTATTTGGATATACCTGTGGATAAATGACAACAGCATTGTTGAATCAATAGGAAAGATCTTTATTGCAGGTTAGCCCTATGTTTGTCATACTTGTTAAAAGTCTTGCAATTACCATTTAGCAACCTTGTATTTGAGAATGCATGTTGCAGTTGGGTTTCTCTTTATAATTGTTGGTTCACATGCTGAAATATGCATGTTTTTCTTTTATTTCTTGTCCAGTTGTATCCTTCAGCGCAGCATTAGGTTTCTTGCGGTATGGAGGAAGGTAATTTTCTGTCTCTCTTCTTGGCTAAAATATCTATGCATATGCAAGAACTTAGATTCTTTTATGTGCATGGCCTTCTTGTATATAGATGTCTATTGTTCTACTTTAGTTGTTCATATTTCAGTTTTCTGCTTCCAGGCTATTTATCATGCTGAGGCGCTTCCCTATTGAATCTAAAGGGCGAAGAAAGAAGCTTAATGAGGTATGTCCTTTTCCTTTGTCAGTTAGTTCACTGAATTTAAAAAAAATAAATAAATATGTTGCTTGTAGTAAAAATTTCATCATTATGTAATATCTTCATAATATTTCTGTTTTTCTTTTGGCATCTTTAGTGACTTTTGTGAGAATGTTAAAATGATTTGTATAAAACCTAATTATTGTAGTTAAATCCTATAAAGGAAACCTGAAGCTTCATCATTATCAGAAAATCTCTGAAGGAATTGCAATGGTTTGAACATCAAGGATATTGGAGACTGGCACCTGAAAGGCTGAAAGGACAAATTTCCTTGTTTAGACCAGCTACATGGGGTCTCCTAGTTATGGGAACTAAAGCGAAGGTTCTAGTTGGCTTAGCTGGTAAAGCCAGTGAATGCAGTTCCCAATAGCCATGGACTGAACCCTGCATTCACCTTCCCACCCCAACTCCCACATTTGCCTAGCCAGAAAAGGGCTATGGGATTAGAAGTCTAAGATTTGTCAGAGGATGGAATCTTTCAGACTTAAATATAACGAGAAAAAAAGGTAATCAACAAAGGATGCTTCCAAGGGTGGGCCTTGGTGCAATGGTTAGGTTGTTCCATTGCAACTTGGGTGACCAGGATTCAAATCTTGAAAACAGCCATTTTGTGTATGTGCAGGGGTAAGGCTGCATACATCTGTCCCTCCCAGACCCTGCATTTGCAGAAGCCTTGTGCACTGGGCTGCCCTTTTAACAGAAAATGCTTCCATCATCACATTTTCCCTTGGTTCTTATATTAAAATCATGCTTGTTATTGGTGCTCAAGGCTAGGCATTGGGGTGGGGGGCGCTTGTTGCCTAGTCGCCTAGGCGATGGATTTTTTTATGTAGAAAACATGGATCCTAGGGTAATTCCCTAGGTACCATAACCATATTTCCTTAATAATTATTCACAATTTTCATCGGCCAAGTATAAAATTGATGTTGAAGTATAGAAAAGCAACATATTCATGAGAAGAAAAAAGAAGGGAAAGAAAATTTAAAAAATATAGGGGCTGAAGAAGAAGAAGACAATGTGTTGATTAGACAAAATTTTAAGTTCTTCCTTATTGGTTCAGGTTTTGAAGTCTTTGAGGGTTCAATACAGCATTTAGCAATGTTTGTGTTGATTAAAGCCTAACAAACAAGAAAATAATAAAAAGAAATTAGTATATAAACACACAAATGAATATTTTAGTTTAATAATGTCTATTCTATAATTATAATGTTAAAAAATAAAGAATAAAAAAGTGTTTTATAATAGAAAGTACAAAATTGCTTGGCAATTAGGCGAGGCGAGCCTCAAGGGGTGCCTTGTTGCCTAGGCATCACCTTAACAACTATGATGGAGCTACTCTTTCTTCTACAACAGATTCTAGCTTGAAGCAGATGCCACCTAAATCACAGCAGATTTTTCTTAATACATATTAGTTTTGCAGTCAAATGGTGCTTATAGAAATTATATTTATTATTAAATCCACTCCCTTTATCTGGATGAGAATTTCAGTCAAGTCTAACATGGTTTTGTTGTTCTAACGTGTTTAAACTCTTGCAGGTTGGTTCTGTGACAACAATTTGTTTCACATGCTTTCTTATAAGATGCTTTGTGGTGAGTGCCATGGTTCAAGACATAATGTGCAATTGTGTTACATTCATGTCCCATCAGTAAAAATCTGTTTGTCCTGTATTTGGAAATGCCCAAAAGGACCTAGATACTTGCAGCTGAAGAAAGTTTCTTCCTGCATGGCATCTGCAATGGTTGTTATATATCAGTTAAAAAATTGAAGTTGTGCAGCAGAACAAAAAAAAAATGAAATCCTGCAAATTCTTGGGATTCCAGCCTGAAAACAAGATAAAAAAAAATCTTGGCCTGTGGAAGTTTTTACAGCACTACTTGGGGTTGGATTTACTATTGTTCTGTTAATTCATTAATTGCAGGTCATGTTATCTATATTCGACTCGGATGCCTCTCTTGATGTTTTGGATCATCCCATTTTGAACCTTATCTATTACATGGTAATTGGTTAAGCATATATATTTATCTATTTGAAAACCCATTTCTCAGAAACAATTTCACAATTCTTGAGATGTTCTGACCCTCCATTGCCACGAAAACAGCTTACTGAGATACTACCATCAGCACTTGTCCTCTACATCTTGCGCAAGCTCCCACCAAAAAGGGTATCGGCCCAGTATCACCCAATCCGATAGTTCTGTCACATGTTACCTTTACAAGTTTCTTCATTGTCAAACTCAACATGATTTTGGAGGTGCAGTTTAACAGTAGATGGAACAAAAGAGGCAGTGGAAGAAAATTCCAGATATATTAATCTGGCAAGGCTTGTGGTCATGGCAATGTTTTTTGATGAGAAATACGAAGCACTGTTCACATGAGAGAGATCTATTGGCCAGATTTTTCATTCACTGGTTTGAAGAGTTGAGCACTTGATATTCTGTTTGGGGAGTTTCATCCAGTGGACAAATCAAGAGGACATGTGGCATTGTGCTCCCTCCTTGTGGGCCTTTGAAGAGTACTTTTGCTAGGTTCAGCAAGGAACTTGGAGAGCAAAATCTCAATTTGGGTTTTTATGACATTTTGGGGTTTCTATTTGTAATGTGAGATTCATGTTGGTTCAATGGTTGAATCTTTTAGAAATGAATTTGCTTTTTTCAGTGTTGGGTTTGCTTATAAAATTTCCATGTTAGATGTTTACCTTGGCATATAAAATCTGAAAAATGGTAAGAGCTATACAAGATTGGACTAAAGCAGTTGTAAAATTAGTAGATTGGCTTACAGGGTGTTTCAGTTAAGGCAGCCATGGTGGTTGATCATGTCGTCCTGGCAGTCATTGTTTCTTCTTCACTCTAGTCGTGCAACAAAGCTCCAGAGTCTTGATATGTTTCTTCAGTCTGGTGGTTGATCACTTCGTCCTGAACTCCTGACATCTTGATGGGCGTTAACCATTTCTGTCACGACTGAATCTTCAAGTTGCGGGCTTTCAACGGCTTACCCATATGGGAGTCAAGACTATAGAATCCAATCCACCACCTCGTTTGATTATTGGGTAAATGCGAACTTGGAAATTGTCGTACTGAATCAATTCGGACGCAACCAAACCTAGGAAAGTTCGGATTCCAAGTCATTGCAGCTGTCCATCGGGAACATCTCACCTGCAGATTCAACGTAGGAATGAACAAAGGGGTAGCTGATGCTCTGACCATTAAGGGTGTCAATGGACCGGTTTTGGGTAGATGGATTGGACAGACTAAAAAGACAGTGGATTGGATCAATCCGGTCCAAAATATTTATTAGATTTGACTGGACCTGTTCCATCGGTAATAAATTTATATTGGATTTGGTTGAATTAAGTCAATATCCAGTCCATGATATAAGATAAGAATACAAGTATCAATTCACCAGGTTTGGGTTGAAACCAATCTAAATTAAAATTAATTTGAACAAACTGGGCGGTCCGAACATTGAATTGAACTGGTCCAAATTATTTATGGAATTGGATTGGACCTGATTCATTTGTAATGGATTCACATTGGACTGGATCGGACTGAACCAAATCCAGTCCCAAGCATTGTTATAATTTTCAACTGTTGGTTCAAAGTGAAGGAGAACATTCCAACCGTCCTTTACCTTTTCACCCATAGGAATGGAGGACTAGCATGAGACTCCAAAGCAACATTTTGTGAACTGTGGCAGACACCAGAACCTAATTCCATCCACTAGGATTAAAATATTTCATTGAATATATATATATATATATATATATATATATTGTTGTCAACCATTTTCTTTTTTTATGAATGAAAGTAGTTTTATTAAATAACCAATCCAGCGCTGGCTCATTGGTGTGTTAGTTGGATTGTCCCAACATTAACGCGGAATTTTTGATGAACGAAAGTAGTTTTATTAAATAACCAATCGAGCGCTGGCTCGTTGGTGTGTTAGCTGGGTTATCCCAACATTAACGTGGAATCAAATCCCGTAATCAGCACTTTGATAAAAAAATAAAGGGGTAAAGGGAAAGGGAAAAATTATTGCTGATTAATAAAAAAAAGTAGTTTTATTAAATCAAATATAAAAAATACAATCAAGCTAGGAGGAGGCACGAGATATTACCCCCTAGGACTGAACCATATACACCAAAACTACCCAAGCTTGAGACACAATTACAAACTATCTCAAAATAGATCTCCCCTTGACATCCCTTGTCTTTTGACCCACTGAAACCTTGGCAGTGGCCCTAGGTTACCTTGGCAGCTACCATCAAAATTCAACTTTACCACACCATCCGGTAGGGGAATCCATTCAGTTTGTGATTTGATCTTGGTAGAGACTGTAGCAGCCACTGTAGCCCCTTGATTTCAGCAAAACTTCTTTCTTGTTCTTGAAATATTCTAGCATTTCTCCCCTCTCATACAGTCCACAACGTAGCGGCTCTGATACATTTCCACATTAGCTTCCCTCTTTTTGTCAATCTCCCAAAGGCAACCGGAGTGAACAGCAACTTTACTTTAGAGGGTAAATTCCACTTGCACCAAAATAAAGAAACAACCCGGTTCCAAATATTGGTAGCAAAGGAGCATGGTATCAGCAAATGATTACAGTCCTTAGAGGTGTAAAGTAAGCGGGCCCGTGTCGTGCCGTGTCGGCACTCGGGCCTGGGCCGGGCCGTGCCATGGACTTGGACCAAGCTCGACTGGGCCACAGGGCCAACCTTGGGCCTAGGCCGAATCGAACTGTACTGTTTTTTTTTTTTTTGAAAATTTTGATTTCTTTTCTAAGTAAAATTATAAAACTAAAATATTTAACTTTCCTATGAACTTTGGGAATTAGGAACTATTTAAAAAATTAAGAAATGAGAAATCTAAGTTATTTAATACATAAATGAAAAAAATACTTAACCAAATTGAAATAAGAATGATGGAATAACAAATTGGAAGAAAAATAGGAATTTTATTTCATTTAAATTTGAATGGTACAAATTAGTGAATTACAAATACAATGATTGGATTATTGCATACTTGGATAAATGAAGAATAAAAATGGAATAAATTAATAAAATATAAAAAATACAATATGGTTACAAATTGAAAATACAAATTTACATTGTTAAAAAATTAAATATATATATATATATATATCAAAAGAATTAAATAAAGTTTAAAAATTAAAAATTTTACAATAATTTGAAAAAATGAAAAATTATACAAGTAGTCAAATTCATGAATCATCATTCATGACTTTCATCATCTGCTTCGGGTGAAATGTCTGGTGTTGTATCATGCCCTCCCTTGTCTTGTAATCTATCTTCTGCATCTAGCCAATCCTTGAAGCAGATGCACATCTCTATGCTCTCATCGTTCATGCAGTTTCTTTTGTAATCCAGCACCCTAGTACATGCACTAAAACAAGACCCTGATGGAACCGTAGACACCAGAGGGGTTAGTAGATCACGTGCCATGGCGGCGAGAACCAGATAATTTTTCGAGTGTTCACTCCACCAGGCTAAAATATCAAAATTATTTGATACTTTACCTAAATTAGAAAAATTTGCTTGCAAATAAAAATTAAGTTCAATAAATGAACTTGTTGTAGAACTAGCAGATTTTTGCCTTCTACTTATTAAATAAAAAAGTTTTTCTCTTCTACTACTGGGCTCAAAGTCAGAAGGAGAAGAAGAAGATGAACAAGTTATAGGAATAATAAATTATTTCCTACAACTTTAGATTCATACAAACTGTACATTTCAAATAATAAATTATTAATTTCTTCTTTTTTATTTCCTATATCAATATTTATATTTTCATAATATGTTTCAAGTAAAATATCTAAACCATCTTTCCTAATCCTAGGGTCTAATATTATAGCTAAATAATAAAGGGGAGAAATGTTCTCCCAATATTTTTTAAATTTATTTTCCATAATTTCAACAATACATTGAAATT